TACATAGAGTTTTATATCAGCCAATATTTTTTAATTAAATAGTTAATATTCAGTTTTAAAAATACTCTTTGTATACAGTTTATGTCTTTTAAGAAGACATTGAAAAAAAGTTAATTGTGTTCTAGCCAGACAGGAATAATATTTGGCCGAAATGCCATAGGTAGACTGCATTTTGTCAACATTTATTTAAGTACATAATGACTATGTATTTAGCTAAGTGATGACACGACTGAGTACTAACCTTTTTTGGCTCTGAAATCACAATGTTTTTGTCATGTTTTTTTTTATTTTTACAAGTACGAAATTGTACCTAAGTAAACAGTGTTTATATTATATATGTTGACTGTTTACGGCAACAGTAAATAAAGGCAAAATACATAATGTATATAGTTGACAGAATTAATTTCGCTTATATTACTTAAGTACCTTGGGAATGTTATTTGCGACTTTTAATAGATACTAAAATTGAATAAAATTATTATAAAATTGGATATAATGATGATATTCTAATTGTGTATTTTTTGCTACCCTAAAAACCTTAGTGCCTTAGTTAATTCACAATTTTTATGATATAAAATTGTATGAAGTTGTTATATTAAGCCAATATATTTGGTGAATATAATTTTGTACCTGTGTCCTGAACTGTGTATGCAGTATTATGATGTACTTTAAAATTATATGAGACGAAACTATTTTGTTTGTTTTATTACAGACTTTTTAACCCAGGTCATTATAGTCTGCTTACCTTCTTATTTGTGTCTCCTGTGGTGTGTCCTTATTCCCAAAGATTGATTATCTGTGTACCTTAAATTGGTCTATATCATTGGATGTTTTATAATATCTAATTAGGTTTAAACTTACTGACGAATAATCTATATAGATAAATAAAATTGGAGTATCTGTTTGTAATATTAAAATAACCTCTTTTTACTACATGCATATTTTATAATTTTTGCCTGTCTTTCCGTCTGTTTGTACCGGTTAATCTCTGAAATGGCTGAACCGATTTTGCAAGGCTTTTATTGGCAGGAAACTGATGCACTAAGGAGTAACATATGCTACTTTTATTTAGGTAAATTGACACAAAAAAGTTATGTTCTAAAATTCATATTCTACGCGAACGAAGTCGCAGGAAACCGCTAGTTTCACATACACTCCATATAAATCTATCAAAATGAAAATATGCATAAGCTAACAATACTTAATAAGACCAAGCTAAGACAAAGAAAAACGTATGTCTTATATCTTAAAAGTTGAATTGACACTTTATTATCAGCTACTGTATTAAGCATTATTTTAAAAAAAATAATCAAAAACTCAATGCGTATATTTGTATGCGTTTTATTTTAAACGTATATCAATTGAATGTTGACAATAATTCTTAGCTGATAATGTTCTATCTTTTGGGATAGTAGTACTGTATTTACTAGATTCCCAAGATTCAAATTAACACGAGACTAATTAACATGAACGCAAATGCAAAGGTATACTTAGTATTTGCATATTATTATCTAAGTTGCAGACGTTATTAAAAGTCATTCCTTCGTTAACACGTCTGTGTATCGCTACCAACATAACAATAAGTTGCATTTGCATATTAACTCGTCGAGTACCGGTTTTATAGACACAATTAAAGAACAATAGGTCGCGGTCACCGGTGACCGCTTGGTGTTTGACAGTTTAAATGTAAAATAGACATTTATTTGTTACTGTCAATGTGCCAATGTCTCTAGTTAAACTATATCAATTCTAGCTACGCCTGCGCAATTGGGATGATGACAGAGTATGAAAATTAAAATTCTAATTAGTCTGTAAGTTAGGTAATGAAAAAATATTAGACACGTATTTTTTTATTTTGTCATATAATAAACAATACTTAGATAAAACGAATCAAAGTTTAGGAGTGGGGGCTAAAAAATTCTAATTAGTCTGTATGTTAGGTAATGAAAAAATATTAGACACGTATTTTTTTATTTTGTCATATAATAAACAATACTTAGATAAAACGAATCAAAGTTTAGGAGTGGGGGCTAAAACGTCATCTACGTATAAAATGTACATAGAAGTGATGTCACGCGAAATTTTAAATCAATATATATCGTCGAAAGTATTCGTTTCTGTAAGAAAATAAAAAATACGTGTCTAATGATTTAAATAATCTACCTGACGGACATTAAAATAAAAATTAGGCATCTACCCTATTTCATCCGGTGCTCGGCTCCTATTGATCGTAGCGTGATGCTTTATAGCCTGTAGTCTTCGATAAATGGACTATCCAATGCAAAAAGTATTATTCAAATCGGACCAGCAGTTCTGGTGATTAGCGCGCAAAACAAATTCTTCAGCTTTATCATATTACTATAGATTTATTTACGTTCTATTTTTACTTGAACAATGCACATTATTTAACTCATCCCTATTGTATGCATAAGTGATGTCAAAACCGCAGAATCGAGCCATTTCTGATAGCCATAACCGACTTATGAATAAAAAACGTAATACCATCAGTAGCAATTTATCTGTATGCGCAATAAATTTTTATGTTCCGATTAAAATTTCTGACGTTTATTTATTGAAATTCTCTTTTTTATGAATTAAATACTCGTCAATTTAATTTGTAAGGCAAACAAAAGACTCGACTTGACATCTTGGCTCGGTTCAATTTAAAGTTAATTTATTACACTGAAATACTTGATGGTATAACTTAAGGACAGCGTTTTAATTTGTATACAATAAAATTAGCATTGAAAATATTCCTGTCTCATTCTAAGTCTGACTAACTATGATAATATGAAAAAAGACGAATTAAGACGCGAGTTCCAAATAATAGTAAAACGGTGTAGGAAAATGTTCTTATATTCTTAAACATGTTTATGGTTATAATCAAGATCATAAACGTAACAATATTAATAAAGATAATGCTGTTTTATTTCATACTAATTAAGATTGCGCCGTTGGCGAAGTGGTTGCAAGTGTGACTGCCGGGAAAGAGGTCTCGTGCTCGATTACAGGATCGGGCAAAGTACGGGTTTTAAAAAAAACGTCAGTAGTAGCACGGAGTCTGGAATTGTGCCCGGTATATGGCAACAAGCTCAATATATCGTATTGCAAGGGACTCATAACATGAATAGTGATAAGTGGGTGTTTCATTATACAGTGGCATAAGTGCCGTAATGTGCACCTCTGCTTATCCCTTCGGGGATAAAAAGCGTGATGTTATTTTATGCTATGTATATTGTATACTATTTAACATTTTGATGATAAATAGGAATTAACGTTTCCATACTATTTTATAATCTTCCAGGTGTTGGAGTCCGATGTCCTAGAACAATTGGAAGAAAATAACTTCATAGAGAACAGTTTAGAAATTCTTGTTGATTTCTGCAACGCCAAAGATTACAAACAGTCGTTCGGTGAGTTACTATCTCCATGAAATACTTGTCGAGTTCATCCTTGTAAGATAAAAGTAACTTACGATACGCTTCACATACTGATTCGCAATTTATTTATCACTGATACTCAATAATAACATCTCTAAGATTAGATTTGTTTTTAAAGATTACGTAAACACTCCGCGAGAATAACAGCGTCCTATATTACGGACGCAAGAATATAAAAGAATCGATGAATACACAAGTGTTCGGATTTCCATGAAGTCTAGACTTTACACATTTCATTAATTGAAGTGTATGTATCACGTTATCAGAAATGCGATAATAAATCTAAATCATATTCATGTAATAGGAATTTTAATCACTCTGAGTATTTAATCGCTAACATATGGTATCAATTGCCTACTGATGTATTTGATAAGGATGGTGTGTAAATATGTTTTTATTTCTAGAAGGGACTGCCTCGTTGGCCGAGTAATCGCAAGTGCGACTGCCGGACGAGGGTATTCGGGTTCGATTCCCGGGTCGGGCAAAGTACTACTGGGTTTTAAAAATTCTCAGTAGTAGCACGGAGTCTGGAATTGTGCCCGGTATATGGTAATTGGCTCACCCGCTATTACATGGGACTCATAACATGAATAGTGAAAAGTGGGTGTTACACTGTAGTGTGGTATAATGTGCACCTCTGCCTACCCCTTCGAGTATAAAAGGCGTGATGTTATGTTATGTTATGTTCTAGAAGGGAATGTATCACTAAGTTTGTTGGAGCGTCGTTCGGAGTTGGAGGTGCGTGCGCAGAAGTGTGGGGACGAGCATGTGTCAGCTTCTCAGGTTACCAACAAGTCGCGGCCGCCCCCTACTGCTGCGTTAGTGACAGCCCTAGCTGATGCACTTCACAATATCAGCGCCTTCCCACACTGCCCCGTCCAAGCATGGAATGAGCGAGGACTATACAGACTTCTGTTCAGGTATAATCCTTACTTCCTTACTAATATTATAAATCGGAAAGTGAGTTTGTTTGTTTGTTCCACTTTCACGCCGTAACTACGAAACCGATTGCTTTGAATTTTTGCAGACGTAAAGTTAGAAGTCCGGATTAAATAATAGGGTACTTTTTAACCCGGAAAAAATTGTATTCCCGAGGAAAAACAAAAGTATTGGTATAGATGGCGCTGTGTGTATTGGTATATGTCACATAGGCTACTTTTTATCCTTTTGTGACGCGAGCGAAGCCGCGGGTAAAAATAATGTTTAGTTGCATGTGTAATTCAAGCTGCAAGTCAGCCACACCTGCCATAATACACCTGCCCAGTAATGCAGTAAATCTTTAGCAATACGAGGTGTCACTTCATTCAGATAACACCTATCTTTATCTGAAGTTTTAAGAAGTAAGTATTAAAGATAAAATATTTCCGTTCACAATGTTCAAGCGACAAGAGAAATTGGAAATTGGGTCTTCCCCGATGCACTTGAGTGCACTTCCTAGATGAAGTGTACTGATAAAAGTCCTAAGACTTTCCAGGAAATAACTTGAATAAAACATCTGAAGTCGTTCGAGATACAGTTATTGATATTGCGTCAACCACAACAATAGATCATTACCGTATAATGAATATTAGGAATTGCGTTGTACATTGGCGGAGATTCAAAACAATGTAATGTAAAAGTCAAAGTTATTACCTTGATGGCATTGTGTATAAAAATGTTAGGTGTTAATTGTTAACTCTGTGGAAATAATTAAAAGTAGGTATTTAGTTAGTATAGTAATGTAACTTAGCTAGGGTATTTGAAGAAATGTAGACTTTATGTAAGGTATAATGTGACGAGTACGAAATGAAATGAAATATTATTCGGCGGATATAATATATAATGAAATATTTATTGTAATAAATATTCGGCGGGAACAAAAAAAATACATTATAACAAATAATAAAACGGTTTAAAAACAGAGAGAGAGAGAGAGAGAGAAAAAGAAAAAAAAAGATAGTTCGACTGATCTTCTAAAAATTTTCGTTGGTTTTTCCACTATAAAGCACATAACAGAACAATTACACCCATTGTTCTCCAAAACAGTAAGAAAAGACACACATATTAAAATAAAAATGACGCCTGAATTCACTAAAACTTGCGTCCCATTGATATGGGACGCAAGTTTGTTGACATGATGTTGACATGATTGTCAACGTTGTATAAACTTAATTGAGTGTCAATTACTATGTTCTATATCATACCGCTATTCATAGCAGTTTGTCATCAGTCAACAACTATATTAAACGCACTAGAGATCCAGTTAAGCTTGCTATTAGTCCACACGCAACTATATTGCAAAGCTATTAGCAGGCAATATTGCTTCCGCCCTTCTGTCATTCAGACATAATTGAAACTGGTCCCGCCGGCTTTGAAGCCTTTCATAATGCTAACATACCATTTTTTTAATGCAACAGTAAGTTTGCTTGTTACCTATTTATGTTTTGTCTACTCAACCAATCCTCTTGGAATTGTTTATACAATATTCATGATAGTTGTGAGTGCGAAGAAGAAAATAAACTAAGGATTAAATCGCGGGAAAAGTTAATATATCAAAATGTCGTTTAAAAATGCATTCTGTAACAGTAATTTTCGTGAAGAAATAAAACAGTAGTAGAGAAGTATGGAATGTTCTGCGCACGTTAAAAAAAAATGTTTGGAAGAGACAGTAGGCACGGTACTCAACTAAGAAGGTTCATTAAAATTAATATACCTATTGTTACCGATTTTTCAATCATCAGTTAACACTTGTTTTTAATTTTTTTTTCTTCTTTGGCAACCGAGTCTCCTAAACGGTGTTAACTTAACTGTAGAAGAAAATTGACGCTTGACAGTTTTTAGTATGGAAAAATTGTCAAATATTCAAAGTTGTTTCTCAGTCTGTTAAAAATTAACTGATGATTGAAAAATCGGCCCTAAGTCTTACTGCATCATACAAGAAGTTTAACATTTCAGATTGATTTGTCATGCATTTTTTACCTTGCTTTTATCAAGTCCAAACTATTCTTACTGCTTGGTGAAATACATTCATTTTCCATTCCTTTCTGAGTACAAATAACTTTTCTTTCTTAATCTTATTCCTTTGAACATCTTTCTTTGTAACTATCAACTTTAAATTCATCGCTCGCTTGACGATTGTCCTCTCTTGTTATGGACGAAAGGGCCTATATCTAAACCAAAAGAGGACCTCTTTATTTTTATTGACAAACGTATTTAAATAAAACATTGTATTCAACATTATTTGTATCCTGCAAAGCACTTGTACATGCTGTCTTGACTAATGACAAATGAGTCATTAGTGTTAAGTAATGATAAACTTTAGACTATACAAATGTTCACACTTAACTTCAAGATCGTAGCGATGGCGTTAAATATAGCTGGCTATAATTAGTTGAATGTATGACTTGTATTTCTTACATACAAGGAAGAAATATGAGATACAGTAAAGGTCATTTTACTAATATAAGATAGAGGTAATTTTTAGGATAATATTACTATAGTAGTATTTTATTTAATAATTTCTTTGTTATTATTATGACTTTATGAAGGCTAATGAGCTATCGTCTCCTCTTCTAAACTTTATTTCGCGTCACTAATTTTTCTTTAAAACAATTTTCTTCAAATCCTAGTGTGGTACAACGGTACCACACAGGACTTTTCTCCTGTGTGCGTAACTGCGTTTACCAACATACAAGTTCACAATAGTTCATATACACATGGCACCCATGCTTTTTCTATTACTAGGAGTTCAATCGTCTCATTCCCGGATAAAACGTGTATTTGTGTTTGTGAACGTTGGATAAGACTTGCTAAGCATATCAACGACTCACAACCAACTATATAACCAGAAAATATTGTTAAACAAGTAGTATATACCTCTTACATCTACATATTTATTACCCCTTCCAAGATTAGGATATGTTATTCCTATACATCCTTGTTTTCAGATGCACTTCCTGGTCTGTAGACAACCAGACCGAGACGTACGAAGTCCGTGCCGCAGCATGTCGCGCGCTTCTAGCCGTGACAGCGCACAAATGCGTCCGATTATCCCTCGCCGCGACTAAGGACTGTCTACACAACTTACTAATGACTTTAATGCCATTCGCAGAGGGTAAGTTACCTTATCTTCAATAAAACTTTATAGATACTATAAATTAGGCTGACTTCACAGTTAAATTGGTAGTTTTTCCATTTGCATCTTATATTTATTGGTCTATCCTTTTTTCGAATTGGACATTTACAATATTTAATGGTGTAATTTATTCTCTTAATTGGCTATCGATTACATACTCACAATTTTGTTTGTTTTTGTTTTTAAGATAGATTTTACTTTTATTATCAAGTTGCAAAAAGGGATTCTTAAGACTTCAGCTACTAAGACCTTAAATCCTACAATCGTGTCCAAAGAACACAAACAATACGTTATCTAATTTTACGGAAATATGACAGAATGGTTTTATCAGTGCAGTTTAAGTTTTCAAGGAAAAACACTTAAGATGTGTTTGTTTATCAAGGAAAGTACTTGGGTTTATCTTGTACGAAGGGCGGCTTGAGGCGCTAAGCATATTTGCTTGCGAAGTTGTGACACAGAGTCTTGTTAGGTTATTTACTTAAGACACACAATCGTATAATGATTCAACATGGATTTCAACAAGAGGAAAAATTTAGGTAACATACGCAACAAGAAACAATGACAAACCTTACAGAAAACCGACGTGAAACAACGCTGACACTGTTTCGCCGTGTGAGTGAGGTTACCGGAGGCCCAATAACCCCTTTCCACAATCTTCCCAAACTTCGAATCCCCAATAAGTCTCAAATTCCTAATCCCCAAAAGGTCGTAAACGCACTCGTAATATCTTTGGTGTTTATGGGCGGCGTCGATTGCTTACCATCTGCTTGTTTAGCGGCTAGGCCCATAAAAAAATAATCTATTTTGGATAAAGGAAGATCAAGACAAGTCCAGTGCAAAACTTTGTATTGTATGTATGTAGCAATTCATAAGGACTTTGTTTCTTGTAATTATCATTAAGTACGGACTATAACTTACAAGATAACGATTCCAAATAAATAATATCGAACAAGCAGATATTTGTCTATAATTCAAAGATCTTAGAGTAAACAGTACCTAATAAAATAGATATTTATGATTTGTTTTCCCAGACGGGATTCATTTCTCAGAATGGGTAAATTTATATCTATTCGTGTTCGTATGGTATCTAACTTTGAATCAGAGTGCTTAGGAAACGTGTTATAATCCTATGTTACACATTGTTTTTATTTGGTTGAAAAACTGGTCTTTTATATGGTTCTTAAATAAATATTGCGCTCTGTTTGGTGTTCGGTTTTATGATGAATAAAACCTTCTTAATATTTTTTAAAAGCCAATTTTCACAGAAACAAAAGAAACAAAACAAAATTGTTCAATGTAGTGCAGTTCGGAAGTTGAGCATATACACATACATACATAGAATACGGCGAATTTTTTTTGCACTTATGGCAAGGTCGTGTTTCAAATATAGAATCGCACCTTTTTGACGAGGCCTTTGTCTGTAAAGCGTACATTTTTTACAATACGTTAAATATCTATTAAATATTTTTTGCTGATTTCACAAATCATTACTGTACCGTAGTCGCATTTGTACGTTTTTAGGTTTTTTGTTCATTTTGAAGTATGCTAGTTTCAACTGGTAATAACAGTAGTTTACAATTATTTTTAATGTGTATTGAACCAAAAATTGTCAGGTTGGAGTTAAGTTTATGTTATTTTGTTGTGCAAAATATAGTTCGAGATTGAAGCATAGTTTTACCTAAAATAAAACAATAGGTCTCCTAAACAATGATATTTTGACAAAGTAGTTGGCCCATACAACGTTTAGGTAATAATGGGCTGATCAATCGATTAATTAATTAGCTGTGAAGTATCACGCCAAATCGCGTTTTCATTTGTTTGCACTGTACTCAGCTAATTACTCTGAAGATATTCGATCTCATGGCAAATTACTGAGCAATTATTGGCCTATTGATTTTTATTATGTACTTAGTTTACTACTGTTTATATGCGTAATGAAAAAAATCATGCATCCATTTTATTCTACAAAAGAGTATCCTACTGATATTGTAAATGCGAAAGTTTGTATGTTTGTGTGTTCGTTTGTTACTCCTTTGCGTCAAAACAGCTAATGGGATCAGGATGAAATTTTAAAAAGTAGCGCCTTTTTAAAACTTCATGATTATGGTCTGGGATAAACATGGGCTTTTTATCTCACGGGAACGTGAGCGAACCGGTTGACAGAAACTAGCATAACATATTTTTAGTGAAAATTAGACGGGACGCGTTCAGATATCGATTTTGACTGCACGGTTGGTGCGGTGCTTGGGCAATTGGCTGCCGCGCAAAATGTCCCGGGTTCGATTCGCGCACGAAGCAACTGTTTGTGTGATCCACAGATTGTTGTAGCGGATCTGGGTGTCGTGTGTATGTGAACTTGTATGTTTGTAAACGCACCTACGATACAGGAGGAAATCCTAGAGTGGGGCTTAAAAAAAGATATCGAACAAGACTGTATTTATTGCGTTGTCTCGAAACCCAAACGACGCAATAAATACTTTATTAAGTCACACTTATTATCATAATATTAACCACAAGACGTCCAGTACTGACCATAGGTCTCCTCCAATGACTTTCAGATGAACTGGTTGGAACTGACTTGCATGGCTGTATGCAGCGGCTCTTTACAACCTTTCAACGGCTTAGTACGAGTTTGTTTTACGTTTAAAGTAATCGTAACGAGTACGCGTTCGGCGCTCTGATTGGTTGCTTCATTGGCGCCGGCCAATCAGAGGCCTTAGTACGACTTTCTTTTTCGTTTAAAGTAATCGTAACGAGTACGCGTTCGGCGCTGCAATTGGCCGGCTCTAATGAACCAACCAATCAGAGCACAGAACGCCGTCTCGTTTTGATTACTTTAAACGTAAAACAAACCCGTACTAAGGCCTCAGATCATCTGTCCACTTTGTAGCACACTTGCATCCACCTAAAACAAAGTCATTTTATAAAAACAATGTGCCAATAATTTGCAGATGAAGAAGAAGAGATCTGTATGGTGGCGCGTGCGCAAGCTATGTCGCTGCTCGCGTCGTTGCTTGCGGAGAAGGCAGCTAGCGACACCGTGTGGCAAGCACTGAAAGACACCCATCAAACAGATTTCTTCCATTTACTTCTACAGAGCTTAGAGGTTGATGAGATTGGTATGTTAATTTTAGTTATATACATATACTGTGACTCCTCGGATGTCCATGGGCGGCGCTGATCGCTTACCATCTGGTGATCCGATTGCTCGATTACCTCCTACTCCATAAAAAGCATAAAGTTATAGTTGTGTTATAGTCACTATTTATAATTTCAGAAAGGAAGTAGACTTATATAGGACCTGATTGGTCTGAATCATCATCTGAAATTGCAGAATAATAATTAAATCATATTGAATTTTTTTTTACAAAAATACACATTGCCTTAATAGAAACTCGAACTCAAATTCTTGATTGTATTCATAAGAATGAGATTGTCATTCTATATTATTCAAGCTAATAATTTACATAACTTTAATTATTTAAAATAAATAAAAAGAAAACCTATTTTTGGACCACACGTCGTGTTTTGAACTTTAATACGGATGGGATTAAAAACATTACCAATTGCTATAACTATAACGGAAATGAGATTGTCGATAAGTATATAATTATTTACATGCAAGTTTGATTGTATCTGTTTACCAATGTTTCATTACAATAATTGTGTATTTATCGTAAATCTACAATAAATTATTTTATCAAACTAAAATTGGAATCTGTAGCCAGTTGATATACATCAAGTTGATCAAATATAAAATAAGAATTAAGCTTGATAGAATCAAAAAATTTACCATAGAAAAACAGTTTTACCTCTCTGAACATTCATTGTCTGCATTACTACTCATTTTTGATCCTAACTGAAATGGGAAAGCAACTTTCTTTATTTGATGCTTCTTTTTGTTATGTCAGTTATATAATTATGTATTAGGGAGTACCTATGCAGAAGGATTGAATTTTACATGCTACCTTACACGTATCGATGTAATACATCTACTAAATTTTTTTATTACAGATCTCCAAGACGCAGCCCTATACTGTCTCACGCAGTTGACACAATCCATGTCACAGAAGCGACACGCAGATAAAACAAAAGACGAGACTTGTTCAGAGTTGTATGACAATCTCAAATCGCCTCACTGGGATGGAGCGCAGATTGACAAGTGTGGTGGTGGGGATAGCGCACGGAGTTACGACTGCCAACTGGAGTACTTGGCTGAAGAAATATTCAAAGCTCTGCTTAATATGTACAAGAAATTGGCGATGGAGAACAAGAAACCTGAGTCTAGTGAAGGTATGTAGGTGATTGTAGTCGACAAAGTTATTAAATAAATTATTGTGTTTTCGGCTTACTCACGTAGCAGCGCGACAGTCGCCGCGTCGCGGGTCGCGAAATGCTGCTCATGAATATGAGCCTTTAGCATGGCTTAAAACTAGTCGAGCTCCTCGTCACATTGTTACGTGAGTAAGCCGAAAACATAATAATTTATTTAGTACGTCTCACGAAAGTTACAATACAAATACAACAAAGTTATTAGTATGCAAGTAATAATACACAAACGCCACTAAATTTTTAGTCGCGCATAAGTATAGTTTGTCGCTACAAATTCTTTGTAAAATGACAGAGATGGCACAATATTTAAGTACAAATTAAAATTGAGTAGCCTTTCAGTATTCGGGGGTAAGAAAAATAAAGGTTGACTCAGTATAGAGACAGTAGCTATTATTAAACCAAATTTTATAGTTTTTATATTTTATAGACTGCCTCGTTGGCCGAGTGGTCGCAAGTGCGACGGCGGCAAGGGGTCTCGGGTTCGATTCCCGGGTCGGGCAAAGTATTACTGGGTTTTAAAAAAAATCTTAGTAGTAGCACGGAGTCTGGAATTGTGCCCGGTCTATGGCAATAGGCTCACCCCCTATTACAAGGGACTCATAACATAAATAGTGAAAAGTGGGTGTTACATTGTACAGTGGCATAATGTGCACCTCTGCCTACCCCTTCGGGGATAAAAGGCGTGATGTTATGTTATTTTATAGTTTTTAACCAAGCTATATCTTCTATAACCATTGACCGGTTCAGTAGCCAACCAATACTTATTGTCTCTGTACTGGATCATTTTTTATTTTCTAAACTTGCATACTAAGTAATGATGCTGACAAAGAAAATGTTTTAGTTAAAAATATTAGCAGATTAGATACATTTAGCAATTGGCCAACAACAGTCCATAGCCGTCTTTAGAAACCTATTCATCATCAAGCTTAAATCTTGATATTTATTGGACAGAGGTGTTGCCTTTTGTATTTTTTTCCAGTTGGGAATCACTGTTCTAGACTCTTAATTTTAAACTGTCAAACACCGCGAGGACACCGTTGTCCGCACACCTATTGTTCTTTAATTGTGTCTATAATGACGGTACCCAAAGGGTTAACTCTCTACAATAACTACATTGGAATGTAGTTACCATAAACGTATGTTACATTGATTACATACTAGTCTTACATTGTTTGTTTAATTAGCCTGGTAGCAGACTGTTTACTCGCATGTTACGTTATCAAACATTTAATTAAATTTGTTTGAAATAGTCACATTAATGCATACAGTTACATCAATAAACTATTGATTGTGTATTATGTAATGCATTAATTACAAGTATGTCTGCTGTGGTTACATTATGTCGCTTGTTTTACATAGTAAGTTATTAAGAAGTTTTAATGGAATTTTCATTTTATTACCTTAGGCGAGATAATGTACCACATAGAATAAGATCAGGTTTAACATCTTGTCTGCTATAGTTTCTCGCGTAGATCACGGGGCAATACGTCACGATTATTATCTGTCTTAAATTATATTTGTTCTTCCTGCTATTTGAGGTTGGTACAAAATGTATTAGTTTTTCATTCCGTTCTATCACACGACGTCCTATTACACACTATTTAATTTTTTTTGCCTCCCTCAGTCTTCACTTATGGCTGATTTTTTCAACGCCAAATTTTTTCGCCAGAATTTTTACTGAGGACTAACTTTAAATATTCGACAATTCTTCCATATTAAAAACTGTCAAATATCAATTTTATTATACAGTCAACAATTAACTGATGATGGAAACATCGGCCCTAAGTAATATTTCATTATTATTAATGTTTGAATAATATTTTTCAGCAGGAAGGTACTTCAATAGCTCTATTATGTGTAGGAACGTTTTTTATTTAATGTTATTTTTGTGTTATACAAAGAAAGATATACTTGAATTTTAGTTATTTATACCTACTCAAAAATAATACGTACGTTGTTCCACATGTCGTAAACATAACTGTTATAAGTACATCACTGATAACCATTTCCTAATGCCCTCAATCAGACTAAGAGAGTCTTGTTTATTCAAGAAATCAACTCTAATTCATCTAATTTATATCACATGTCACTAACATTTGTGTAATTACCGATAGTAATCGTAACTCACTGTTTATGAACGAAGTTATCTTAGTCTAAATGATGTCATAGTTCACTTACACTAGCCAAGATATATGTTAATAGTAATGTGACTGTGTTTATATACAATCTAGTCTGTGTTTGGTCTTATTTACTACAAAAACTGGATCTTCTATCTAGATCTAATCTTTTCGGTACTAGATTAGATTGGAGATTTAAATCTAGTATTTTGGTAGAAAATAAGGCCAGTTTTTTTGTTGTTATTGTATGACATTTGTTTTGTAGTAATTTTCTGTTTTTGAAGCACTAGTTTAAACACATAAGTTTTTGCTTGAGGCTATAAATCTATAATTAGTAAAACCAAACCTGATGCTATGTTAAATCCTTCCCATTGACTATTCCAAAAATAGAAAAAAAATGCAATTATTGTCACAAATTATTGTTTCGACTTCCGGATCTGGGTAACTTTTGAGACAGGAGAAAATAATAGTGTTTGAAACATTGGACGTCCTGCTGGACAACGACAACCGGCATTAGCGGAGGATTAGTCAATAACAGTGTTTGTCGACAGCCAGACTCTTGAATGACTTTAAAACTCAATAACAATATAATTATCACACTTTCCAGATGACCGATGGATCCGCGTATGTTCATGCTTAGCGTCCGTACTATCAGTGAGTGATCGCAGTCGCCAATATGCGGTACATCGACATCTACCTCGAATACTGCTGACCACCTTGCAGGCTGTCAGGGACCATCTCTCCATGCATGGGAAACCTGCTGATGTCATCAAAACTGCGAATAATGTGAGTGACAGTTTTAAATATAGGTAGTTGCGATAATGTATAAGTTAAATAAGCTTCAGAAATATTTTGCTCCACATTTTATAGATTTTTATTACACTGTCCTACTTAAAAATTAGTAACTGTATCATAACAATAGTTGATGTAAAGATCGACATAGTCTAAAATAGCACATGAGCTACATTTTATCCATACAACACGGACGAAGCCGACTCGTTATTTTTCTTGTAAATATACTATCATAACATTTGCCTTTTGTCCTCGAAGGGGTGCACACAGAAGTAACACCCACTTTTCATTATTTATGTTATGAGTCCCATGTAATAGGAGGTGAGCCTATTGCCATATACCAAGCATATTTCCAGAATCCGTGCTACTACTGAGATTTTTAAAAACCCTGTAATACTTTGCCCGACCCGGGAATCGAAAACGAGACCCCTTGCCCGGCAGTCTCACTTGCGACCACTCGGTCAACGAGACAGTTCTTGTAAATAGTACTACATAATTATTTGTAGCACGTTACAGACATGCAATAATATATAATTCATTTATTATATGGACGTTTCTATGTACATACAATGATGCACTAACTCTGCAACGTGTCGAACGTAATATTTTATTCATTTCGCGATCGATAGAATACATAATTGCCGATATGTGTTCAAAATATAAGTGAATACATTGTTAATCTTTAAAGGAAAATACCGAACGAATGCTCAGATTAGGTTCCTAGGTCGGACAAAATACTATTAAACTATTAAGCATTTATAGTTCGATAACGTTATTCAAAACCTAAGTTCTGTGGTGACAGCAGAGTAGAAAACATTATTCGTCCCCACTCCTGTTTTTCCTGCATTTGACAGAGATTGAACACAAGTACTTTCTAATAAACCTCAATCTTTTTAATTAATTTTATGCCCTCATACCCACAAACAACCCTTATAGGAAAAGAAATCCTGTATTGGAGTGTCATGTCATCATGTGAGAGTGATGTTAATTAAAAACCCAAAGTAGGTGGCGTAGCAAATAGTTACTAAATTTGTATTGTAACTTTCGTGAGACATACTAAATAAATTATTATGTTTTCGGCCTACTCACGTAGCAATTTGATGAGAATATCGACTTGTTTCAAGCCATGCTAGAGGCTTATATTCATGAGCAGCATTTCGCGACCCGCGACGCGGCGTCTGTCGCGCTGCTACTGGCTACTCGAGTCTGCGGGCCCAGCGCGCCCTCTGCCGTGATGCACGCGTACTTTCTTCCATTCGTGGTATCGGCGACGGCGGCGCGCGTGGCACTGTTGGCACGCTAGACTCGCCCGCCGGCAGCTGCGTTGGTGTTGTTGGGTTCGAATCCCGGGTCGACGCAAAAACAGTGTTACATACCGAGCCTCTAGCATGGCTTGAAACTAGTCGAGTTCCTCGTCAAATTATTATGTGAGTAAGCCGAAAACATAATAATTTACATAGTTACTAAGTTTGGTTGGTGTACCATAAGAACACCTTTTACTTAGTACTTCTTTAAACGTCTTTAATCTTCTAATGTCTAAAATTTTATACTTTATTCTTCAGAATCCAGTGCTACAAACATTATACTGGCTTCTGGTGGTAATGGACTGCTTGATGCTGGAGTGTCCCGCGGCCAAGGAGAGCTTCGCGGACGACAACCTGACAGTCTCGCTCTGCAGACTGTGGCCCTGGTGTATGATGACTGAACAGTTACGACTGGCCGTCATGCATCTCTTGTATACGTTTACTAATAATTGTCCTAAAGGTATGTATAAAGCTTTTGATTTGTACCTCAAAATTTTAAACTATATTTTTGTATCTCTTTTTATTTTAAAGTTGACAGTAAATGCACAAAACATCAGTGCACAGTATGCTTACGTTTGTCCGTAATGTCGGTTCATGCGCAGCTCATTATTTACAGGCCCCGTTCGCCTTCGAAACTAGTCGAGTAACCCCCTGATACAATTCCAGTATAGTTTCCTTTTTTACCATAGTTATTCTACAAAAAACATGTAGGTAAGCATTTTATATGTAAGCAAATCGTAATCAAATCTTAATATTAATTGCAGCATGGGGCGGTATGTGTGCTTGCGTGGGCGGGCGCAGTGTAGTGTTGGAGGTGTGTAATCTGTGTACGCGCGAGGCCCAGCTGGCGGGCCGCGCGCGCGCCCCCGCGCTGCTACTGCACTGTCTGCATACATTGCGCCGGGTACTGCCGCACCATCACTGCAGGACTATACTGCTTAAGGTTAGAAGACGATGTTCTAGTAGTTTTTAAGTCTGACTAGTGAAAGAAATGTGTTCAAGGTAAAGCGTTAATGTGACTTATATGTCTGTTTTAGCTTTAAATTTAAATTATACTTAGAGAGAGAAAGAGAGATTTTTTCATAATTATGATTACTTGATGGTATCTAGTATCTACCAGTTCCTTATAATTGTTATAATATTTTAATTCTTATTATTTATTGGTGAGTATTGCTAAGAGTAAAATATTTAACCTAGTTGATTGTCCAGTACTGATTTTATTGTCTTATAGTGATCAGATGTTAATGATTAGGAGTTTATTCTTAGTATTCTATATTTGTTCAAGACGGCCTAATAGGGATGATGACAGGGTGTGAAAATTAAAAATGTAATTAGTCCGTCAGTTAAGTAATGAAAATATATATGACACGTATTTTTTTATTTTGTCGTAAAATAAAACAAAACTTATATAAACAAATCAAAGTTTAGGAGTGGGGTAGGTTGCTACGTCATTTTAGAGTATAAATCGTACTTAAAAATGACGTCATGTGATATTTCAAATCAATATGTCTTCGAAAGTATTCGTTTCCGTAAGAAAATAAAAAATACGTGTCTAATGTTTCCAATAATCTACTAGAAGGGCATTAAAATAAAAATTAGTTATCTACCCTATTATAACGTCACGATGCAGGAAATTGGAGTATATGATAATTCATCTTGTACTCTGGGTGAATTCACAAGGAATGCATTATATGTAATATGCTATAGGTAGATATTAAGATGAGCACATTTATCGCATTGGGCATTAACCTGTAATGATAAATGTAAGTGGAAAAATAAATAATAAATAAATAAATAAATAAATCTTACATTCTCTGTCAATTTTTAAAAATATGTGTTACAGAGCGAAGTGCTATCGAGTATGTACCGGCTATGTATCCGCGAGCGGGTGCGTGGCGCGGGTGCGGGCGGCGCGTGCTGGCGCGGCTGTGCGAGCGGGCGGCGCGCACGGCGGAGGGCGCGGCCGCACTGCTGGCGCTGCCGGCCGCCGCCGCGCCGCTGGCCGCGCTGCCCGCCGCGGTGCGGGCCGGACTCATGCCTGCTATCGCTCATTCCGCGCACCATCAACGTATCACGTTCTTACAATCACGTAAGCCTAAAGTTTTTCAAAGTAAAAGCATTTATTTCAATTCATTCTTAATTAGCACTTTTCAATTTTTCTGATTCATTCGGTGCGGGAATCAAGACAGTTATTCATGTCCCTGGGACGCGCCGGACTTCAGTGTTTCGGTGTTTTCATAGTTGTATCTACTGTAGATCCTGGTTTACAGGAGTTGCAGTGGTTTTGGGAGGTTGTGGCGAGCTTGTCCCATAAAAAAGGCACTTTTTAAACATCAAAAATTGAATTGTCAATCCGTCTGTCTGTCAGTGTAACTAGGCGCTCGTTCCGAAATATAGTTTCGAATGGAAAAGTACGAACAATTTTTATGGTGTTAAAACATTTTAAAATGTGTTTTTTGATACTTTTTTAATGCGTCCAATGATTGATAGCACAGTTACCCGAAACGAGAGAAGAAAAATATAGACGATTGATAAATTGATGTGCTTAGGGTCTGTTCGTTATTTTAATATTTACACCTGATTCATTAACATTAAATTCAATAACATTGAGGAAACTCAACATGACAACTTGCAGCTGACATCTTGCAGGCGTTTTAATAAACTTTTATAAATAATGATTACCATATCAAGAAAACATAAAATGCATGAAAACACTGATGGCTGTTGATGAACCGATAGATATATGTAATAATCATAGTAATTGGCGTTCCTTAGTCTCTGCTTTCGTCCATGGGAGACAAGCGCGAGGTTGTATATGTATGTTTGATATAAAATAATTGGTTTTATGTTTACAGCGGACCTATTGGAACTGCTCTCTGGCACTCTGCTGGCTGGAGACACTGCGGAGATCGTGTCAGCTTCGCGAGCAGTTTGGGCTTTAGCTGCTAATAACCACAAGGTAATTTGATCTATTGTCTCTATTGAACTTTTCTTAAAAAACATAGTTATCTTACGTGTCATATCGTATGCGATTAATATACAAGAAATATTGTTGTTATACAATCTTGACATTGACTTTTTTATTACTTGTATTCTATTCGAGTAGCGTATATGACGTTTTTAACGTGTGTGTCTGTAAGATTTTAAAGGTGTAGTTACGTTATAGTAAATTAGGTCAGCTGGTCATTGTATAAGATAGATAGTAGTAGACAGTCGACCTCATCGTTTGCTTAAAAAATTGACGTGTAAAAGTGCTGCCTTGTAGCCTATTTGCAGAAATAAATTCACTTGTTCCACTTGATAGATATAAACTTTATTATACACCAAATAAGTAATTTTACAAAATCATAATTTACAAAGAATAAGAATGGTACGGCGATCTTATAGCTAAAAGCGACATCTACCAGGCAACCTTAAGCCAATTTGTTCAATGCTATATCGGGTATAAAATGTTAAACTTTAATACGTTAATGTTCCTCGTAGTTTATTAATAATATCGAATTCAATACTGCCCGATGCCTAAATGGAATTAACAACTTAATATTCAGCAGACGTTCTTGAATAAAATAGACTGGACAAAGTATGTTGTAAATTATTATGTTTTCGGCTTACTCACGTAATTATTTGACGAGGAACTCGACTAGTTTCAAGCCATGGCTTCCTTCCTATAGCCATAGGAAGTAGCAGCGCGACAGTTACCGCGTCGCAGGTTGCGAAATGCTGTTCATGAATATGAGCCTCTAGCATGGCTTGATACTAGTCGAGTTCCTCGTCAAATAATTAGGTGAGTAAGCCGAAAAAATTATAATTTATCTAGTATATCTCACGAAAGTTATAATACAAATAAAGTATGTCGTGTTTGTTACCTCGGTGTAATAGTGAAGATTTTTTATGTTACCCAATAAAAAATATCCAAACACACTAACCACTATTCAACTTTAATCTTAGTATGCAAATTTATAACATGATTAATGTCCTAGGTCTTGTATATAAAGTCTTAATACCTACCACTTAATTAATTCAGTCCAAGCAAATCGATCATCGGTCTAATAAAATAATAATTAAATGAGATTGAGATATTTTTCTTCATAACTCTACCGTTTTTCAATATAACTCTGGAATTATACCCTTTTTTGTACCTACTTGCCAAATTGTGATTAATTATTATACATATAAAGAAGTTTTTGCATTACTTCGTTATGTAATCTAATAGTCGTTTTTACATCGTGTATTTAAAGCCAGTTTGAACTGGATTTCTGATTTCTGCTCCAGTTAATTGTTTGTAGCTTAGATAAATTTATCGATCTGAAATGTTGTTTTTTACTGATTTCCCAAAAGGAGGAGGTTCTCAATATAGCCAGTATAGTTTTTTAAACTAACTGCTTGTAAAAGTAATCTTTGGTTCTATTTTTTTTGTATTTTGGTCTATTTTTTATATATTTTATCTTTTTTCTCTAGAAATAAAAAAAAAAAAAAAAAAAAATATATGAACTAATAAAAACACCGAACGAAGCTCGGTCATTCAGATACTCTGTATTTAATGGCTGTACCGATTATCATAATCTATGATTCGTTTGATTTGAAGACTGAATAGTCGAATAACTGTTAAAACAGCGGGGAATAATAAATATACAAAAATAAAACAGATATTAATTAATATTGCACGCTACTATTATTTTTGAAGCAATCCGCTGATCGCATGACGACACTTGGTTTTTTAAATTGAAAATTGACGTCACGTTATTTCTTTATTGTTAATTTATAAGATGATAAAATAGAATTAACAATACCTAATGTAATATTATTCAAACTCGTGAACTTGTCCATTTTAATTTAGTTTTTGCTGTTCAAATATTGCTGTGATTATTATAATCATCAAACATAAACTTGTTATTAACTTTTGGCGTTTAAATGTCAAACGAATAAATATTTAATGTAGAATACATTTATTAATTCTTATTGTTTTTCATTATAAAGGAACTCTTTTCAAAGTTAAATATTCACTTAACTACACCGTAAAATATATTTCGCTTTCGTCCCGAAGCCAAATGGTTCTGCTTCAGTAATATAAAAGTTTTACAAAGAAATAAAATGTTTAAAACAAACCATTGTAAAACGTAAAGTTCGAAAGTGCATACGAACTCATCCTTACTAATATTATAAATCTGAAAGTGAGTTTGTTTGTTTGTTTGTTCCACCTTCACGCCGTAACTACTCAAGCGATTGCTTTGAATTTTTGCAGACGTAAAGTTAGAAGTCTGGATTAAATAATAGGCTACTTTTTATCCCGGAAAAATTGATATTCTTGTAATGTGTCGTCCTTTGTAATATTGTCTGTGTGGTGTAGGTATATGAAATTATAAATAAATAAATAAATAAATATTCCCGAGGGAAAACAAAAGTATTGGTATAGATGGCGCTGTGTGTATTGGTATATGTCACATTGGCTTTTTATCCTTTTGTGACGCGAGCGAAGCCGCGGGTAAAAGAAAAGCTAGTTAGTAAATAATAATCAAAACATCATAATATGTCGTGTGATGTGTCATGAGAATAGTGCCTAGAAATTAACATCTAGTGTCGCATATGCGAAAGTCAATGTATATTTTATTAAACTAATAAAAAAATACGTCTTTTTTGTTTTTACTTTATATATCGAAAGTACACCTTATGCCAAGTTACATATTTTGCCGCAGGACGAAAACGAAATAAATTTCACGGTGTATATCTATCCATATGTCCCTCAGTCACCAGGCTGTATATAATTATTGGTGATAGGGAGCACCGCGGCCCAACTACTCCCGTAACACCATCACGAATGCTTTTCGGACCCCGTAGGAAACTATTTAATGGGGCCTACCGTATTCTTGCTCACCAAATGGCGCCAGTGTGAATGTCAACCATCTCGTTATTTGACCAATAGGAAATGAGCTAGTGTCATATACCATTAGACGTCAAATATTTGAAAGCTGCTGTGATTGCACAAAAACTTTTAATATTTGCGCCATCTAGTGAGCAAATAAAAAAACTGTAGCCCCATTACCTCTTTCACTACCAAATTGTGTACAAATACTTTTGTTGTTTAGGCAAAGCTGGTACTTCGGAGTGCAGGCGTGGCTTCAGCGGTGCAGACAGCGTTGCAGCGACTGCAGCGCTCGGCACGAGAACCTGACGCACAACGCGCTCTGCAACTACTCACGTACACCAACACTGTACTACAGACCACGTGATAATACCCATTTTTTCATGTTAACAATAATATAGGTAATGCAGACTCTAGTTTGGTGATTATAAGGTATATTTTTCAATGAAATGAAATATTAAATTATAATTGTATATTTTTGCTACCTAAATTGTTGATCAATGAAAATTTTGACTCAAAGTGACACATTTTGTATAAAATTGATTGTTAATTCAAAGTCGTGTCCTATAATGTATTTTATTGTATGAACTTCAAATTACAGTTTTGATAAAAAATAGCTCAATTCATCCTACATTATCAAAAATTTGTCTCAGGCGGATTACAACGCTACAAGGAAATTCCGTCCTTAGTTCCATGACATAGAGTAACTTATCATTATACGTTGTTTGTAGTAAACGGCCTTATTCATAGCAATCCACTGCCGCGCTACGTGTCACGGGTTCGATTCCCGCGCGGAACAATTCTGTGTGATCCACAGATTGTTCTTCCGGGTGTGGGTGTCATGTGTATGTGAACTTGTATGTTTGTAAACGTACCTACGACACAGGAGAAAATCCTAGTGTGGTGCAGCGTGTTTTAAATTTAAAAAATATGTATAAATCAACCCTAAGTCTGAAGCAAACTTTTCAAGATGGCTTAACAGTGTAAACAGGGCCTTTAGCCAAACGCCACTTTAGCGCTTGTCTACAGAGAGAGTAGAAAACTAAATGTATGGGGATGACACTGACAAGTGTCAAAATTTAAGTCAATTCCATATAATTTGATTTTCTATTCTACATGTAGACAAGCGCTAAATGGCATTTGGCTACAGCTGCTGGTTATAATTAGCTACCTATGTAAAAGTAGTTACAAAATATGTTGTGTCATCCAAGTCATATGATCATGATAATGTGAATTTTACTATGTATGCATAGGTATTTATCCTGACCTAATCTCATGTTTGTATTCAACAATTTGGTAGTTAAGTCACATGATTTTTGTTTCAATGGTAAATTATTTTTTCTCAGAGTAGATCTGATAACAAAGTGACATTATTAATTATTGTGTGAGTGTGACTCGAATTTGGACTGAATGTTATTAAATGGTAAGTTTGTATGTTGTAATTTGTAATAAATGCATTTTTTTTATAATATACAGTGTCTTTTCTTTAAATAAGTTAAGGTCTAGTATACTTATTCTAGCCGTGTGTACGTCGTGGTTAAACCACACACGTACGTCGTACGTGTGTGGTTTCGCGCGTCTCAAAGAGCCATTAGACAACTACAGATTGGTCCAGTAGGGCTGATGCCCGATCCAGGCTGCGGACCGGGGGTTCCGGCTTTCGAGCCGGAAGAGTTGGAACAATGTGGTTTTAAGTCAGTAAGACTCTGACACTGAATGATTTTTCCTCTTAAAAAGCATACTTATTCCGAATATTGGAGTCTACTTCAAAGAATTCGGAACTGGTATAAGGCTCGCCAGATGAGATAATTTAATTTTGTTCAACTACACATGTCATTATGACAGCCTCATTAGGCGAGTGGTTGGAAAAGTGAGTGCCGTTATGAGAATGAGTGCAGATTTAGGTTCGATTTTATAAGCCCTCACCATGGAGCCCAATATTATGTACCCTATACGCGACAAGGTTATTATTTGAGCTTTATTTGCTCATACACTACTGTTGAAAATTGAATGTAACCCTTTCTCCCCAGGGGATTAAAATGTCCAATATTATAATAATGTTATTGTAAAATAATTATTCTT